CGTATTTGCTGCGGAGGTCGGACCAGAGCGGAGCGGAGCCCGAATGCATGTAGTGTAAATTAGGGGTAAATCTGCACCTGGACCCAGTGGCCCTGGACTGGACCTGATCTAGAGTGAGCGTGTACTTCCTAAGGGATTTATCAACTCTGCAGAGCCATCGGGTGGCAGGTGGGACCACCTTTACCTCGAACCTGACCACCCCGGTACATTGCACTAAATCTAGCCTAAACTCAGTTCACACCTAAACCCACAATCAGCATCTGTATCTGTGGGGACCAGGCTTTGGTCGCCATGAGGAGCACTGGGTCCCAACAAGGCTGTGTTTTTCTGGAAAATGGTCCCCATGATGTAGCAAAAACATATACACATTTACACACACACAAACACACATCCTTGTACTTGCATCAAACTGAGGACTTTATATTGACTTCCATTCATTTTTGCTACTGTAGACATGTTCCCAAAAACTAACCATTACTGGTCGACAGCTAACACTAACCTAACCCAAAACTTAATTTACACCATACCTCTAAACCTAACTAGTAGAGTGCAGTAGAGCTGCAAAAATTGAGGACGGGGAATATGTCCTCCCTTTCCAAAAATGTCTTCTCTTTGTTGGCTAAAATCATATGACAGTCCTCACTCTGTAGCACAAACAAGTACACACACAGGTACAAACACACACGAACAAACAAAAACCCCAAAGCACAAACTGTAGCTTTGAAAGATTACACTAATCACAAAAACAGAGAAAGTACAGTCTGGAAATGTWCTAAACCCTTTTAATCCAAATTATTAACATTCCTCTGCCGAGTTTCGGCATTTTGTGATAAGTGTTCTAGAGGTGAAGAGTTTGTTAATTTGTTTGAAATATCTGGTTACAAATATTAACTTTTGACTCACCTTTTGGGTCAAACCACCATTTAAGAGAAGGTTTCTGTGAAGGAAAGAAGAATAAAATGGATACAATGATCACACCAGTTACCGCGTCTGAGACGTACCTGCGAAAACAAAAAGTGAAGATAAAAATAACTAACAAGCATCAACCAATCATATCTTTTAAGCTCATTTTAAAAGAGAAAAGGCATCATGGCAGCATTAATCTCTTACCCTTTTTTGAAAAACACAGACCAGCCTGTGACAAACTTTGGGTCTCTTGTGAACAGAAGTACCGCAAACAAAACAAAGAAGAAAGAGATGGCCCCCTCTGCAAAACTGAAAGGAGACACAAATGTACTCATTCAGCACCATCTGCGCAAAATCTAAAGACATTCTGCAAATCCTCACTTCATTGGCCCCAGTTTTTGGTAATCTTCTTTTATTAAAGCTTTGGCTCGGACTTCAGCATGAGCTCTCCAGTCATGTTTCGTAAAACACAACCTGAAGGAAATTAAAGGCAAAAAGAAAAAAAGAGTGAGAACATACATTGATGTTTTAGTATCACAAACACAATGAGCACACTGTTTACAATTTCGTAAGGATCACAGTAACACCAACCTTACCTTGTATTCAATCCCCCGTAAAGAAAAGCAATCCAAAGCCATCCCAAAAACAAGAAGAGGAGCATGAGCGGGAAAGCAAACGCAAACCAAGAGCCAAAGTTAATCAGATCACAGTCTGGGAAATAGCTGCAAATGAGAAAATGATGMTTATCAAACAGGAATTTCTTCATGTAGCAAAGTTTTCCTTTGAAATGCTGGGAAAAAACAGACCTTTTCAGTTGTCCTATCAGGATGAGGTTTGGTGCGGTGCCTGTAAGTGTTGCTGTCCCTCCGATACTGGCTGCATAGGGAATACAGATCAAGAATCCTTTCCAAACCCTTAGCTGATACTCTGACTCTGAACGGATCTCTTCAGCTGTCCTCAGGTCAGTCTGATCCACTGCATCAATCCTTTTTGAAATTTTAAGAGATGCATCGTGATTTTATRTWAWCTCTAAACTATATGCAAACTCCCTGGATGCAGTTTGATAAATTTGAGGCTAAAGCTCGGCAGAGTTTCACATAAAGCTCTATGTATGTAAATGTCTCATGTTTCTAGTCTTTAAACTGAATTTTGCTGAGTTTCCTGGCTGCAGCCTACATTAACCGGATATGTGCCTCTGTGTCTCTCTTACCCTTCTGTTGACAGTATTTGTTTTTCCGAAGGCTCTGATGGCAGTGAATGCAGCTTCAATAAAGACCCGCCTGAAACAAAATACAGGTAGAAATTGGGTTTGATGGCGATTCAGTTAGAGACCATTGTTCTTGTAAAAATAAGCATCTTAAATGTTAATATCTGAGTTGTAGTTTGAATATATTTAATATGTAATGAATTATGCAAAACAGCATTAATCAATTACTACAAAAGATTGACTAACTCTTGAACTCAGTAGGTTGAAAACTGAACAAAGTTCACACATTAGATTACATATTAAAGGCTCTAGCAGACGAGATTAAAATAATGCAAAAACYGTCTCGATTGTCTGACCATATTTTAAAGAATCATAAGTTTTGTCGATACTCTAGAGCCCACTATGCATTCAACATTCTAGTTTCATGACTTCATGAAGTTTCCAGTTTCTTTTACTAWGGTGATCTAACCAGGTTCAAAGAAATCCTCTCCTGTGAAAACATCAGTCTAAAGCTCTGGTAACACAAATCAGAACCTCACAACACATAAACCTCTTTTTAATAGAAACACGACATGTTCATACCTTCCACTGTTTTAAAAGTYATGTTTATGRCAYAATGTCTGCTTGTAGYTACAAGAAATAATTTATTCTCTCAAAGTATTAGAAATATTATGTGTGGAAATGTTTTATTTTGTAATTGAAAATTAAATTATGAGTTTTTTTTCACTTGAGAGTTTGAGGWAAATATCTCTTTAAAAAAGGTAACTAAGCAAATTTGTTTGTGAGTTTTTAATAACTTACTTCATATTTTTACTTGAGTTGGGGTTTTAAAAGTAACTTGTACCATGAAATCTTTCAGCAAATTTACTGTACTTTTCAGTACATTATATTAGTAGTATACTTTGCACCTCTGCTGTTTGGTGACAGACAGACAAAGATTAGTGGCTTAATGAGAGCATYATTTCATCTTTTGATGCTTCCAGAGAATGTTATAAAACTGATAAATGCTTGCTGTTAAACTTAACCAAAACAATTCAGTTTTGAACCCAAATAATCTTAACAACTATGAAAAATGTCCTTTACAGATTCAAAATGAGGTGATATTATTTTCTCTATTAAAGTGAAAGCAGAAACATCTCTCAAACTCTCTGACATGTCAGTGATTCATTTTTTTAAATTTCAGATTCAAAATTTTGTCTCACTGTGCAGAAACTTCCCCAGCGATAGATGAGAGTTGATTTGATCTGTTGATACTGTACCATTTACTGCAGCACTGTCATGATCCTCAGGGGATTTGCACTTTYTCTTCAGGGTCTCCAGGTCCCCAAACAGGCTCTCCAGGATGGCATTAGCAATGGGCAGCATCATGGCTGTCGTGGCAGTGTTACTGAGCCACATGGACAGGAAGGAGGACGTCAGCATCATTCCTAAAATGAGCCTGTAAAAACAGTTCAKTCCAAAAGTCTAAAACAGCTCAAATAAGTGAATCACAGCTCTAATTAAAACCCTCTTTGCTGCACTCAGCTTTATGAAAGAAGGTCAGGTACTGTTCAAAAGTTTTAAGCCTAATTATKAACTCTTCAGGACTAATTCTACCCAGAAAAGGTGTTTTATTTTCTGAAAAAGATCACTCAAAAATAATCACAATTTACAGACAAGTCTGGTTTAATGAGTGGTTGTGGATAAAGAACCTACATGAGTGAGGACCTCGTAAGCGGATCCATTGCTTTCCCCAAAAAGACACTGGTCTTTATTCAAACCTTCACGTTCCTCAGATGAAGGACACGAGGTTAGAAATAGTGTTCTGAGCTTCTCAGSATCCATAAAGTGATCCCCAAAAATTCTTTTCCTTTAGTAGTGCAGAGAGGTCACTGATGTCAGAGTCATCACAMAGACCATTGTCATGGAGTCCYATCACTGTTTTGTGGTGTTTGAGCAGGTTGTGATCAGTTAAGATGCCAACCAGTTTTCCTTGTCAGGGCGATGAGAGCTTTCCAAAACCTAAAATTTGGGCTTTTTATCAGTTCCTGTGCCTGTSTACAGTGCGTCAGTTAATACAAACACTTGTTAGAAGATTGTATTAAAAGATAGTTTAGTTGTTTTTTTTTAGATGTCAATAATATTTTCTCACCAAGCTGGTTTTACTCCAACAATACTGAGAACCTTCAGCGCTATCCTACGATGAAGACCCCACTCCTCGATGGACGATGCCATCACCAGACCGCTGAGGAAGAGAAAGTTGGTTTCGATGAAGTACTGAGGGCAGACCTTTTTGGCTGGAAGAATTCCCATGGTTGGAAAGAGGCAGACTGGAAGCATGGCTGTGACAGCCAGCGGTAGGGCCTCCGTGCACCAAAACGTTGCCATCAGCACCACCACGTAGAGGCATTTTCCTTCCTGGAAGTGGAGCAACACTATAATAATGCACTACTGAGTGAAAAATCAGGACAAGCATTACACAAGAACATGATTTTGTTATCCTGCTGAGTSTGTCCAGCCTGTTTTAGCCTGCCTCACAGTTTCTGTCCATGAATTCATTTACAGCGGGTAAAATAAGTATTGAACACGTCAACATTTTTCTCAGTAAATATATTACTAGAGGTGCTAATGACATGAAA